GTCTGTCCATCCCCAAGAAACCTCTGCCTCATCCCCTCCCTTTGTCCTCCTGCAAGTCTCGCGGGACAAATCTCCTGTCTCCCCACGTCCCCCACAGGCCTTGCCTGCATCCAGGGCCTGTATATCTTCTCACCAGCTCCCATAAAGCTATTTGTTTTCTTGTGAAGACACGAAGTGATTGCTTTACAGTCAGGCTTGATCCAAACATATTTTCCTTCAGACTTGTTCCTTTCAGTCACCAAGTACACAGAAGAAAGCGACGTAGCCAGGCAGCCAGGAGAGTGGGGAACCTATGCTCCACCCAAGGCCATCTCTCCTAACTTCACACACACAGGTAAGAATGGCCCTTCCCCTTCATTTCTAAGCTGGATGAGTCTTACGATTCTTCCACATACCCTTATTCTGTAGGATGTTCATAGGTCCAAACACACGTCTTCATGCAATGTTGTAACAGGGGTGTGTTTGAAAAGGCAGGTGAGACACAGGCCACCAGGAGCAAACAATGGCAATGACGACGCTGCTGGCATCTGTAGTGCGCAGGCGCTGTGCTAGGTACTTTGCACACGTTGGTTCCTTCAGTCCTTCATACGGCCCTGCAACGTGTCATTATTAACCAAAATCCAGAGGAGAAGAAATGGAGGCTCAAAAGGTGACGTGCCTTGGCTTGTGCAGTCAGACAACAGCAGAGCCATGTCTAGAGGAAGCCCTGGGACTTGAGGGCAGGTGCCCTGCACCCCAGGAGTTCGTGCTTCCCCTGCAGTGGCCCCAAGAGAGCGGGAGACGGCGCCTGTCACCAGGACAGGGCCCGGCCTCAGCCACGTTCTCAGGGCACCACCCTCCCGGCTCACGTGCAGGTGCAGAGGAATGTTCTGCTGAATAAACAGCTGCAGCTACAGGCCAGTTACGAAAATCAGCAATACAACGGAGAAAATGCTGTCACGGAGGTGACTGCAAAAGATACGGGAGCACGAAAGAGACTCACGATAGTGGCTGAGCAGGTCAGGAAAGAGGCGCGGTCCTGCGGGCAGCGCTTAAATGTCACTGGGAATCCTTCACACTGTACCTGCTTTCTAAAAATATTTTAATCACTTAGAATGATCA